TATTATATGCACTAGCTACCTTAGGTAACATCTCATCCCAGTTAATCTGATCCGGCCTAATGTACATGCGCAGAACTTGCTGTAGGATCTTGTTCATTTGCTCTGTCTGACCGTTAGTCTCTGGATGGCGGCCGGACGACATCAATAACTTAGATCCATACACTCCCATGAGTTCTTGCCAGTTCTGGCTAGTAAAGCGACTATCTCTATCGCTAACTATAGAGAGTGGGATCCCATTCTCACTAACCCAACAGTCAAAGAACCTCTGTATGACTAAATCAGTACGCGCCTCAGAAGGCAARGGAACAAAAACTGCGTACTTGCTAAAGCGGTCAACTATGACCATGACTTGGCTCTTGCCATGCCTGCTCTTGACTTGAGTGTCCATGAAATCTATTGACACTGAGTCYCCCGGCTGATCCGGAATGGGCAAGGGTCTGAGAAGACCCAACGGGGCACGCGTAGAAGACTTGTTACGCTGGCAGACCTTACAACTGCGAACATACTCTAGGCAGTCATTCTTCATCCCTGGCCAGGTATACGCGCGCATCAGATTGGCTAAGGTCTTTTGCCAACCAAAATGACCTTCTGTGTCGTGGCATTCTCCCAAGATCAAACTACGGACCTTTTCGCTATTGGGGATGCACAACCGGTCAAAGACATTAGTCTTCTCGAATAACAATCCTTCAATAGTGCGATAATTCGGCTCAGTCTCTGGGGCCTCTTTGACTTTCTTAAGGAAGTCACTATAGATAGGGTCCTGTGCGTAGGCCTCTCTAACTTCTTGCTGCAAGTTTTTCCCTATATCGAGGTAATGCACTATCGTCCCGAAGTAATCTGCTCTCCTACTCAGAGCATCCGCAACTACGTTGTACTTCCCCTTGACAGGCTTGAGCTCGAAGTCGTACTGATCTATCTCGGCGGCCCACCTAGTATGCTAATCATCTTGGCCTGCGTCTTTAACCATCGTAACGTTTCATGGTCAGAATAGACTTTAAAGTGCCTCCCAAGCAAGTAGTGCTTCCAGTGGTCTAACGCTTGCCTGAGAGCGTAGAGTTCCCTCTCATAAGTAGATGTAGCGACCTTCTCTGAAGGCATTCTGGCGGACATGAACTCTACGGGTCTATACCCATTGCCATCGTCTTGCTGTAACACTGCGCCTATGCCGTACTGGCTAGCATCCGTAGTAACGACAAAAGGCAAGGACGGATCGGCGACCTTAAGGACCGGGTACTCTATCAATGCTTGCTTTAGCTTCTTCATGGCAGACGTGCAGTCCTTGTCCCATTTCCAGATTGTCTCTTTTCTTAGCAATTTGCGAAGGGGCGCAGCGATGGTGGAGAAGTTCCTCACGAACTTCCTGTAGTAATTGGCTAAGCCCAGGAACGAGCGCAACTCTGTCAGCGTACGTGGCGTGGGCCAATCTCTAATCGTTGCGATCTTGCTATCCTCTGGCTTAACGCTCCGTCTAAGACGTGGCCTAGATACAAAACTTGGGTCTTTGCCCAATCACACTTCTTTGCATTGATCTTGAAATTAGCTTCCCTCAGCTTTTCCAAGACCTGCCTGAGATGACCCTGATGCTCGTCGAAGGTCTTACTAAACACTACAATGTCATCTAGGTACACTATAACAAATCTATCTAACCACGGCCTGAACAAATCGTTCATACAGCGCTGGAACGTAGCTGGCGCATTGGTTAGTCCAAAGGGCATCACTATGAACTCGTAGTGCCCATATCTAGTCCGGAAGGCTGTCTTATACTGATCATCAGGATGCACCTCTATTTGATGATATCCGGACTTCAAATCTACCTTAGAAAAATACTTCGCCCCCTGCACTCAATCTAAGAGATCGTCTATCCTAGGCAG